TTGTAGGTAGCGATAGGAAATTACCTTCGAATCAATGACGATTAATCAGATTGTGTTTATCAATAGCACTGGTGATATATGTTGTTGGATGTAATCCGTCATACTTAATGATGTTTATAACGCCATTACTTATAGTGTATAGACCTACATTTTCGCCATCGACTGATTTTAGTACAGTGCTTGAGTTGGTCTATTAGCTCATTTAATTGGACAACGTTGAGAATAGAGTACCCTAAACCAAAACTTATACTGTATTAAAGAGGGCGCACAACCTGACGACAGTCGGTGGATGTTCAAAGACTGGGATCACCTTCTAGAAGTGTAAACTAAAATTTTTAAAAATTCGGTTTTCGCTACGAAAATTCTTACGTCACTCACCGACACATTGTTGGTATCGCCAACTAAAAATATTATTATACATCTTTGGATACATTTGATTGAATATAATATTGTATTTTTGTAATCCGTATTGCAAGTTATGATTCTGATTTGAAATTTTGTTTGTTTAACGATTGATTTTTATCACCTTTGTTTGCACGTTGGTGTTTTTATTTAGTCCACCAGAAATACGGGTTTGAAGCACCAAAGTTGGACATAATTGCAATTTCTTTTTTGCCGTCCAGTGAAAAATTGACAGCGAACGGAAACGCGTAGTAATACGCAAGCGAGCGGAAGCGCGTGCACGAACAGCGGAAGTGCGTAGTAGTACGCAAACATATGCGCGTGAGTAGGCCCCTAGTAACGAAAAACCGCCATGGGAACCGCCGATGTGTTAAGGAAAAAATGTAAGCATTTCTGAAAAATTAATGATTTATGTTTCTCCGATGAAATGTTTTCGCTTTGCTGAATGGATCACTTCTTTGTATCGAATTGACCGATGATTAACGGCACTGTACGTGGAATGAGTGCAAAATTGTAATACACGACCACGAAGTTTATGCATGTTTTCAAAGCTTTTTATTTGACTGTTACACGATATGAAATTTAATGATGAATTGTGAGGTCATCGATCAGTTTGGAAGTGTGTCACTTTCTTCATTTGTGTTGAGATAATGAACGCTCTGTAAACCAAACATCGTCGTCGTTTCGGAAAGTGTTACAGGTCCTGTCAATATAGTCTGTCACCAACTTTGTCATTTGTCACCTGGTTCATTGATCACCCGACTTCTAATGGAGCATAATTCTCAATCGTTGGCCCATGTTGTTCTAATCCAGTTTTGATTTACTAATTAAGTGGTCGAATTGCCAATCAAATTAAAACACTGAATAGTTTTCGTTGTTGATGTACCATGCCATCAAAATTTCCCCCATCCCGGGCTAATGCATTCATTCGCGTCCGCGCACAATTGATAAATCGTTCCTTATTTTTAATGTATCACCTAAAGACCATAAAGGTCAAACCCGTGTGACTTGGCTCATCCACAACACTTCCAAGTTAGCATATTGTATGAGGCGCCAAGTTTAGGCCTAAATTTATTATTTAAGGCAAATATTTATATATAATTCATTATTTAACATATAATTGAATAGATCACCCATTATTTATATATAATGCATTTACATCTAAAAGATTATATGTGAATGATTGTTAAAGATTTTATTATTTATATAAAATTAGTTTACTGATTTCATTATAAATAATGAAAGGGTAACCAAACATTTATATATAATAAGGTTACTGGTTTCATTATATATAAATAAGGAAAGGGTAACACATCATTATATATAAATAATGAAAAGTAACTACAATTATTTATATATAATAAGTTCACTGACTCCATTATATATAAATAATAAGGTAACAAATAATTATATATAAATAATGAAAAGTTACAATTATTTATATATAATAAGTTTACTGATTTGACTTCAAACTCATTATATATAAATAACATTTCATTATATATAAATATTAGCTGTCGCACAACCATTATATGTATATAATGCTTGGATTTCTATCTTATTATATGTAAAGCACACGTGTTATCGTGTCAAGGTCATTATATCTAAATAATGGTTTTGACTTCCAATTATAGGCCCCTATATAAATAACCGTTGAGGTCGAGTGCCATTATATATAAATAATGACATCGTAGGAAGCCATGGCTTATAAATAATTCGTTATGCAAATTACGAAGTAATAAATATTCACCAGCGCTCTAAATTACAATTAGGGTCTATTCGCCTATCGAAAATGGCACAGCAAGGAATACAGCAGATTATTGAATCCAGAGGGAGGGGGGCCCCCTCCGTCGGGGAAGATGAGTAAATTTTGACGGGGAATAAACAAATTTAAAAAAAAAATTTCATGTAATGTTTGTAACCACCATATTGTTTTCATTAAACTATTTGTGTTAAATTTTTATCACAATAATAATAATAATAATAATAATAATAATAATAATAATAATAATAATAATAATAATAGTTCAATGAGACTAATTAAAAATAATTTGCGTTCTGTTATGACAAATACTCGTTTGGATAGCCTCATGATGCTTGGAATACATCGCGATAGTGGAAGCAACCTCGACCTTGACATCGTGGTTGACAGATTTGATTTCATGCAAAATTTCCAAAATGTAGAATTTCACTTTGAAGAAAGAGGATTTGAAAGTAAATTAGATGGTTACATTGCAAACTCTTTGTTTCTTGTTTTATTCAAAATGTTTTGGAAGCTGATTTCGACATTAGCAAACATAGCCTACATGAAGTCGTATTCTAGTAGCTCGATGCCTATCAAAGTAATAAAAATTCACCATAATTCGTCAAATATATCCGTGGCTTCCAGGGAGGGTAGTTTTTTGGCAGTTGCGTCCCCGGTGACATCGTGAAGGCATGGTGGAGGCTGGTTACGATTTGGTGGCACATCGATTGAGTATTTTGATTCATCTGGCCATGTAAGTCAGTGGCGTATCTAGATGTCTTAAAATGGGGGTTGCTGATGGGGAGGGGCTCGAAGGTGAT